TTTCTGGGAAAGATAATCAACATCAAAAGCATCACAAAAAAATTAAAAAGAAAACGGTGGCGGGGTGGAAGGGGCAAGATGCGGCGGCGGGTGGGTCACCAGATCCGATGGCGAAGACGATAGGTAGAGATAGATAGGGATTTATGCGTTCTTGTTCTTGTCTTATACCACTGTATCGAAAATTATAGCAACGATGACAACGACAACAACACCGAGATCTCCAGATCCGGCGGTGAAGACGAGATTTTTTTGAGAATGTTTCGTCATCGGAGAGCTGGGTAGATTGAGTGAATTTTTCACCATCACGGCGTTGAGAAGCGGCTTTTGGCGGCGTCGGTCGGCGATGGCGACAATGAGATTTCTCATCCGCTCATTACACTTATTTTGGGCAGTCTGATTAGTTCCTCGGCGGAGCGGCTCAAAGACTTCGTCAATAAAGAGGCGACGGCGAGCGGAGGGAGAAGGGAGAACTTGGCGGCATCAGATCTGAGGTGGAAGGGGGAGATCTCTGCGACGGGGCTGAGATGAAAGGGGAGAGAAGGCGGCGTAGAGAGAAGGGAGAGAAAAAAAAAAAAAAAGAAATACAATTGAACGTGATAGGGTTTGGCAATTTGAAAAATAATAAATCTGAAATAATATAAATAAATTATAATTTTGGGGTAAAATATTCTTATCGTATAAGATTTTATTAAAATATTAATTTTAAATGACAAGTGAGGGGGTATGACTAATAATACAAAAGGGACTGAATCCAGCATAATATAAGTAAAAGACTTGGGGGTTTTTCACTAATTATCCCATATAAGTAATACATCATTTACTAAAAAAATTATATTTGTGATAGATTTAATCATTTTTTTGACAAAATTGGTTGTCATTGAAGCCCTGTTTGTTTTAGTGATATACGTGATTATTTATTTACTCATTATATTTTTATGTCTCTTTTTTTTTTTTTACATAATTGACTATCTTTAAATCATGTTATCACTTATACTAATAAAATGCATAAATAATGATAGTAGATAAAATTTAAGATCTTATTTATCCTCAATAATTATAATCAATCTTAGTCATTCACAACTATTGTTTTTCTTATTTCTTGACATATTTCTTATATATGAGGATTATGTTTTTATGTTTTTTTTACATAATTAATTATGGTTAGATCATATTATTATTTATACTAATAAAATGCATAAATAACGATAATAAATAATATTTTAAGAATTAATTTAATCTTGATATTTTAAAATCAATCTTAGTCATTCACAACTATTTCATCTTATTTCTAGACATAATTTTTATATACTGGTTATCAATATTTATTATTAATTTTAGTTTATTATTTCTAAATAATCCTTAATTAACTCGATAACGTTCACTTGCATGTTATGTTATGATATGTCACTGAAAAAAATTATTATGAATTTTATATCAAATACTTTTTATTTAAGAATTTAATAAAATAAACTTCGATTTTCAAAATAAATTATAATGTATGAAAAGATTATCATATTTGTAATATAACATACTATAAATATTATTACTGGTATTAATAAATAATAATTAGTTTGAGTTTACATTATTATAGTTTCATATTTATAGAATTTATGTGAGAAAAATAGTATGAGAACTAATTTAAAATTTGATAAGCTACTTTAGGTATCTAATACTTAATTTAAAATAAAAGGTTTTATTTTAAAATATTTTTTTACATATATATATGCTTATAATATCTCATTGTAAATCTCTTCAAATATAGTTTTATACAAATTAAATTACATCAAAAATTTCAATGTGTAGAAAAAATTACAATAATAAGAAAATAAACTCTCACCTTAAATAAATATAGCACATGAAAAGAAATTTGATATCTAAACTACATAATTAAGCTATTTTAATTTATTATTTTCATTTTTTTTATCACACAACTTACCCTAACTAATTGATCGTATAGCTCTATTACGAAGGACATAATAGCAAATACAAAAATATTAAGAAACAAAAAATATTTAGTAGAGAAAAAGCACTTTACCCACCCCCACCCAAACTATAGCCCGTTTTGCACTTTATCCCCAAACAAAAAAAAAAATGGTACGTTTTGTGTTGCGCGTTGTCTCAAAAAGGGAATTTTGTGGGCATTTTGTCCGAAATCTCACACACGTGCCTTTCACGTGGATTTTACAGGGGCAAAAACGTCTCATCACTTAGAAATTAACCTAGGATATTATTTCCGTTTTCTTTTATCTGCTTAATTTACACTTCACATTCTCTCCAAATTTCTCCCTTCTCGTTTTCTCTAAGGTTTTTAGTTCAGAAAAAATTCTCTCAAAACTCCTTCCATTTTGAACGTGTCGTTAGCTTAGAATTGTTTGGAAATTACGGCAAGGCAATAAAGACATTTCTCCAGAACGATTTGCTCCAGAATATGGTAAGTTATTAAAATGTGTATTAATCTTTGTTATGCTTATTAGTTTTATGAAATCGATGATAAAATTCATTTTTATTCAAAATTTTCTTGTAATATGCTTGTTATGCGCTTAAAATATGAAAACGTATGGATCGCAAAATACATTGTTCCTTTTCTTGAGACATACTTGTTTATTTGTCAACTGTCATTTCTGCCAATTTTTTATTCCTGACTTGCATTTTTTATTCATATTAATCCAGGTCCTACTAGTGATTATTTCACTATTAGAATGTATCATTATGGTAAAATTATTGAGTTAAACAACAGATATTATGTGGGTGGCAAAGTTGATTATTTTGATTTGATGTGATGAAGATGAAATATTTGTGTTAGAATTAAATGAAATGGCTAAAGAGTTATGATTGAATGATGCGGTTCATTTTCTACACAATAGGGGTGTGCCAAATGACTGCACTTGTGTTTCAAAGTTACAACATAATGTTGATAACTCTGTTTTTAGTGAATTTTCTTGATAATGAAAGAGTCACTGAAATATATGTTCATCATGAAAATTTGGTAGAATTAAGTGAAAATAAATCTAAGGAGAGTGAAGCTGGACAGATAGATGATTTACATGACGTAGATACTGGGAATGAACCTGTTTGGGATACTCGGAATGAAGCTGTTCGGGGTACTGAGAATGAAGTCGTTGGGGGTACTGGGAATGAACCATTAGATATGAGTGGTGGTGGTTTAACTTATAAGAATGATAGTGACGGTAGTGATGGACAATCAGTTGGGGAGGATTCTGATCACTCTGATTTCATAGTTGATAGTGATTTTTATGAGTCTAGTGATGATATGCAGTATGATGACAATGTAGACTTTGACATAAAATGAGGAGGTTTAAGGGACAAACCAAAAACACATCCTACCAATAGAAAATTTAGGGGATCAAATAAACTAGTTGACGAAGAGGGGTCAAGCAAGAATAAACTGAATGAATCCACCCACAACAATTACTCTATTTTCAATGCAAAAAATGATATGCTAGATCCTCAGTTTCAACTAGGGCTTTGGTTTAATGATGCTCAATCATTTAGATGTGTTGTAAGATAGGATGCTATTGTCCATGGCAGAGAAATCAAATTCAAAAAAAAAAAAAAAAAAAAAAAAACAAAGTCCATGTGATTTGCAAACATAAGACTTGTGACTGGTTAATTTATGCTTCCCAACTTAAAACTGAAGCTACATTCTAGATCAAAAGTCTTAATGCAATTCATGAGTGCAATAGGAAAGAGATGGTGATTTGTGCAACAGCTAGGTTGGTAGCTAATAAGTATAAGGATAAGTTATCCTCAGATCCGATCCTAAATGACCACTTGATTCTATTATGTCTATTGTGCAGAATTCAAAAAATGCAAGGATTGTATTGAAAAATGAAAACTTATACCACTCATTTAACATTTTCACCATTTTTTTTCTATATCTTTCCAAAATTCTTATAAAATTTGCAAACATTTTTTTTAGTTTTGAAATTTGTTTATGTATTTGTATTGTCTTACATGTATACTATTAAAAAAAAAAAAAAAAAAGTCACGGGCGCTGCCCCGGAACCCCATAAACTTTTGGTCCACCATTTTTATTAAGTGTTATTTATACTTTTTGCGACATTCAATTCCGAAGACTCTTGGCAAAAATCCTAGATTCGCAACTGGGAAAAATATAAGTTTATCCAGTACACCTATATATTGGTTGTGAGTTTCTCATTAAATATAAAAAATATGTTTCCATCCAAGTCCAACGATTTGCTACTTTTAATGTGTAGAGATGTATGTTGTTAAATAGTATTATCAAAGCACATTCATTCATTACTTTTTTATTTTTTTTAATATTATGAAGATGCACGTGTTGCTTACCATTCATAAGTTTCTAAGAGAGTGCATCAAATCTTACAATTTAATACAGTAAAAAAATGTTTGCCCCCGAACTAAAGGTCGATTTTCATTTTGCCCCTAGAGCCCGTAAATCGATGTTTTTGCAATTTTCGTCACCATCACCGCATATTACACTTGTCTTCCTCCCCCAATTATCATTCCTCTTCATCCCTTCCTCAATTTATGCCCTATTTTTTTCTTATATATCCCTCTAAAAAAAATCGTAACGAAAGTAAACAAAATTTCCAACATCACACACAACTGACAGATGTACAACATTTTTACTCTTCTTTCCAAAGAAAAGTCAAGAAAGCCGAAACACAGAAATTTGGAACCATAATTTCAAATTGCATTCAACTTTCTTACAAGCTAATCGATATTGGATGATTTATTGAGTCTCTTAGAATAAAAGAGAGCATCTATCAAAATCGAAGCAACATATCTCTCTTGATCCCACAAACCATTTCAATATTTTTCTTACTGAAATCGAAAATTCTTTCTCCCAGAAAACACCATTTATCTTTACAAAATTCAAGAAAATTGAACTCAATAATATGAAATTTCATGTATTCTTGTGTATATGGGCGAATAAATTGTGGTTTAATGTTCTTCTCTTTACGTGCATATATTTGATATTGCAATTTTCTAGAGAGTTAAACTGACAAATTCAATATATAAGATTTCTGATCACTAACTTTCATGCTCTGAGGAAGATGCAAGAATTCGGACAGTTCTTGGAAATATTTTTCTAAAAAAAATAATAATCTTTTTTCAAATTCTAAATATAAGGTATTTTGCTAAATGATAGTGCAAGAACTAGTTAGCTTCTTAATCTAAGGTATGCTAGGAACCATGTTTAAGGCCTTCATAATAAAAGTATATGTGAAGGCATCTTCCTGCAGCTTTTCAAACCTGCATCATCAAACCAAAACCAAAACCAAAATTAAACTTTACAAGTATAACCAAACTAAACTGAAACAAAAAATTATTATTACGCACAACTTTTAGAATTCTTTTAGCTAACTGCAGCATAAATATATTAACTGAAAGTTAAAGAAGTAACTAAACAGTATCATTGATCTCAGACTTTGTTTTGATGATAATTTTATTCGGTAAACATTTTAGTTAGAATGAGAAAAACTTGTACGACCTGCAAATTATGAAATACCAGTTAAATGTAATATCATTCATTACCTTCCTGACTTTGAAAAATGCCCCGCACCAAGTTCACATTTAAAGAGCAGCGTATTATCATCTGTCTTCGTATCTCTCAACTTTGCAACAAATTTAGCTGGTTCTGAGTACAGAACACGCGTATCTGTCAAAATATCAGAAGAAATGTTATTTTAATGGGAAAACAAAACATCTATGTTTTCATGCTGCCGCTGACTTGGGTAAGATGAAGAAACAAATTGAATAGTTTAACATAAACCAGTCGTGATATAAATGAATAACAATATTAGCTAATTCCATGTATGGAAGTGAGCAAAATCATTGCCGAATGACAAGGATCAAAAGTAAACCATTTTGTCTGTGAATATGTTCATATGATGCCTTACCCTCAGAAAACTAATTAGGAGTCTTCAACTTGGTTAAACAAAAATCATTCACCTAATCCTCAAAGAGCTAATAGAATCCCATATCCCATGCTTATAACAAAATGATGCAAGCATTCAAATAATACTATTTTCCACATTTAAAAAAAATTAAAAATAAATAAATAAATAATCTAGCTCTTTCGCTTGCCCCTAACTTGGTATGTGAACTATAAAGGGGAAAAAAAAAAGTGATTTTTTCCATTCCCATGACATGCATACAGTGGTTAAGATTTGTTTTCACACTTACCGTTTAATCCGGCAGTTACAAGAATAGCAGGGTAATTTTGTGCTGTAATCTGTAAGAGTAGTCAATGTTATGTAATGAAACAATAGTATAAACTAATGAAATTTGATGAACTGAAACTAAACCAGTAAAGTGTAAACTGGGCAATAGGACTTCATCACCAATATGGATATTCCATAAAGCGACCGATATTTCATCTATCGCCTGTATCAACATGGAAAAATTCAAAATAAACGGTGAAGCACTCACATTATCAACTGGGGAATAGGACTTCATGTAGAAGTAAAACTCTTCTTTGCGAGGATCACCCCATTCCTGCAGTAACAAAACAAAGAAACATAAGTGAACATGTCTTACTTGCAGCCTACAGTCCTTTTGATAAATCTGGCTTAACTAAACTGTGACAACTAGGAAAAAAATTGAAGTGGGAAATGATGCAGTGGAAAAAGGTATCAGAAACAGCAACGGAACTGTTGGCAAAGCATACATATTGCTAATCCAAGACAGAGATGTAAAATCTGAAAAAATGGATCTCTGATTCGTCTGTTTGTGAGCCAATATCTTTCTTGTGTAGATTTTATATCATAAGCTTGATGACATTACTTTGATATTACTAAGGACCAAGAGAGATTCGAACTTTTATTCATCTTAACAGGATTCCCGGCAACAGAATCCAAAATATTCAATAAACGAAACATTGCAGTCTTATCTAGTTTGAGATTCAATACCTGCAAATCATTCTTAAACAGAGGAAAATGAAAAAGAAAAAAAAAAAAATCTCCTGATTGAAAAATTATAGTGGTTCGAAAAGTAACTGCTATATTAGTAATCCACACTGCAACGATATATTTTACTAACTCAACAAGTATTCCAAAGAGAAAAATAGTTTTCCAGCGTCAACTAAATTGATCTTATTTATATTTACCCTGGGATATCAGGTAAAACTAACCACAGGAAATCCGATAATTGCAACTACAAAGTAATCGATATATTCTTTGTTTTTTTAAGTATATCAGGATTCCCAGCGGAGGTAGTCATAATACATTTTGGTTGTATGCTCAATTGTTTAGTAGTTCAGTCCAGTCCTGCTGAAATATATACTACATCTTTGCTATGGATGTAAACTTAAGTACCTAAGTTTTAACAGTGAATATATTTTTCTTACGTTTCTTCCCATTAGCAACAAAACCAACTGCTTAAATCTTTGTCTAGCTGATAAAGTCACAGAGCATTGTTCGATTTGTCTTCCATAGAGTTTTGAGAAAAGACTTTAAATAGTTATGATTTACAGTTGAGTCACAATTCATTATCGGTACATTTTGTTCTTTGGTTATTTAAGACTAATAAAACATTCACACACATTCAGTTCGCATATGTTACCTTAGTAGACTTTCTATTCAAAGGAACTATAACAAGTTGCTGATTTTGCGGAAAACAGAGACAAGGAGCCGTACAACGGATAATATATATAGCATTAAGAGACTTGTTATAATCTCTTAGATTTAAGTCATCACGGTGTTTAGAAACATTTGTGGTAGAAACCATGAAAAGCAAACTCACCATCCATTCTGAAGTTGTAAGAGGAATAGTTGGATCAAGCATAGTAGTCAAAACATCAACGAAAGGCACTCCAGCCACAACGGCCTTAAATAAATCAGGCCGCATGTTAATAACGGCACCAACTAGCAAACCACCAGCGCTTCTGCCCTCAATGCAAAGTTTTTCCTTTGAACAGTACTTCTTTTCTATCAAATATTCAGCACAAGCAATAAAATCTGTGAATGTATTTTTTTTCTTGAGCAGTTTTCCATCTTCATACCATGGTCTTCCCATTTCACCACCTCCACGAACGTGGGCAACTGCAAAAATGAAACCCCTGTCTAACAAAGACAACCTTGATGCCTTGAAATATGGATCAATACATATCTGTTTTGAAAAATCAACAGTTAGAAGACAATCAAAGTCAAGCTGCCACTAAAACTTGGGCATTCAGAATGTGTTGGTGTATGTCAAACCATATGAAAAGGATAAAACATAAATCCGAAATAGTAAAAGGAAAAAGTTGTAGCACTTAATAAACTTTGCATTACCTCATAGGAACCATATCCATAAAGAAGCAGTGGATCTGAACCGTCAAGCTTCACTAAATCTTTTCTATATACAATCGAAATAGGCACTTTAGTACCGTCAGCAGAAGTAGCCCACTGTCTTTCAGTTAAATAATTACCAGAATCAAAGCCTCCCAAGACCTGAAACAAAATTAAGCAAATAGTTAATTACGACACTTCAATTTGTTATATTTTGGCTTCAAAGTACTGGTAAAATCTTTTCATGGAGGAGTCGGATTAACATAGATAATGTGCTGCAACAAAAGTAGATGGGACTAGTCTTCTGTGAAGATCCATCAGTAGAACAGAAACAATTACAGGTAATTACACTCTTATAGACTTAAAACTTGAGGAGTGTGTTGTCAAAATACTAGGCATTTTTTAAAATCTACAATCTGGTTATTCTTTCTCACGGATACAAAACCTTGGAGTATTTTTGTTATTAAACATGAAATAATTCCGGAACCTGGTCTGCACTTGGCTGCGTTTCTCAAACTATATGTCCATATTAAGGATAAGAGTGTCATTTCAACCACAAAAGATTTCATTAAGATGCATTACATTTCCTGAAGCAGCCAAGCAGAGAAAGAGGGGGCATTTTTTGTTTAATTGGTCGAAAAAGACGGGGAACAAAAGTTGTTGTTGCTACAAGAACAAGGAAGGGCATACGAAATTAATTTTGCAGAAAAGCCACGTTAGTTATCTTCCATGTATACTAACAAATCAATAAACCTTTTCAAATGCTTTAATAATAATGTGTTTGGGGGTTCTATGAAAAGGTAGTTGAAAGCCAAAGCTGCCCCAAAATATCACTTTAGCCGACTTTCATTCACCAACTGTCGCAAGAAATTCCTAGATTTCGAAATCATCTGTAAATCCAAACAAATCCTCAACCTCCACAACAATGCGTTTATAAAAAACTCTCTACCAATGCAGGGATCATATCTCAGGCATCTAACTCTACTACCATCACCACCACCACCCGTCTTTACACCGAAAAATGAGTAGATAAAATAAACAAATAAGAAATGAGAAATCAGGCGACATAGAAACAATATAGAGTAGATCAAGTTAGCAGCAAGCCAAGTTAATTCTTCATTCCACAAATCAAAAATGCAAAGGAAGAGCTTTGGTACAAGTTTTTTTAAAAGCAAAGAAAAATATTGATAACAATGATTAAAAACTTCCAATTCAGGGATATCACTACCGATAATCTAAAAGTGTTTTTATTATACGAACAAGTCAATACAAATTTAAAGATCGAATACAACAGTAAATCCACAAGCAGACTAAAAACCCAAAATAAAACAACTCAATGTCAGCAAGTTAAGTAACTGTCTACTGAACCCTTCAGAGCAACCATCTACTATTAACTTAACATAGTTATGAATCATTTCGAATAAGATAAGTAATCCTTTATTACTCTATGTGGTCTATGTATAAGAAAGTAACTCTACCTTAGCATGGGAGGTTTTTATTCAAGTCTTACCCTTCATAATGGATTATAAGTGTGGTGTTAATCCTTGTACCACTTAATTAAATTGCCTGGTTCCTCTATGTAATCATTAAATTTCCCATTCAGATATCTAGTCTTCTGTTTCATATTTAAGTAAATTCCCTAGACGACTAGACAAATCAAAGTATCCAGTCAATTAGTCCTAAGGCTATCAAATAAACAGTTCTTACCATTAGGGGAAAAAAATATTAACATAATAGCAAAACTTCTAAGTGTTAAAAAAAATATTAACATATTGCTAGAAATCCTAGACTAGGCACAGGTATCATCTCAAGGAAAGAGTTGTCTCAATATAAAAAATAAGAGCCTGGATACCAGAAAACTTTTAAGTGGTCCAGTAAAGTTTTAAAAAGCTGAAATCCTATTTGTATTTAAGTTAATTTTTTTTCTTATTTTAAGGTTTTTAAAGATGCAAAGATTGTTGGGTTTGAATAAAATCAGTTCAAGTTCATGTATATTTAATAATAATTCTCCTCAGAAAAAATCTGAGTTTTATACTAGAATAATCTTTTGAGGTCAAAGGGTTTCGTGTACCTATTTTTGCTATATGAATGGGAACACATGTACAATATGAATCCAAAGCATAAAGACTTTTTGAAGAAGATTCAGTCTTAGTAGGCTTTCGCGATAGTAACATGTAATAACTCACCACATCAATCTTCTTGAGCACTGAAATCCCAGAGTTCATATCATAATCGTAAACAGAAGGAGGTGTCTTCATCGAGCTATAATCGAACCTTAAAATACAGGAATAGAATTCTGACTCTGATGGATCCACTGAATATATAGGATCAACAAAATCCACTACCCGACCACCTTGCAGTCTGTCAAGTGGCTCTCCAGTAGCTGGAAGGTTATATATTGTTATCTTGGGCAAACCATTTTCCCGCTGATAAACAACCAGATGATCACTAAAGAGTTGCATCGCCTGAATATTGACACTGTTGAAAGTATAAAATATGTCAGCTGAGTTCATCAACAGAGCTCAAGTGAACTGGAGCACAAAGCAAGCAAAATCTCTCACACGCAAATAAAAGTTCAACACTGGTGTATTTTCAGTTTCCTGGAAATTTAGTTTAACATTGAAGAGTTTTCTCTTTTCTTTTTCAATCTAAAAGACCAATGATGCATATCAGCCCTCAATAGCTTATGCGCTCAAGTGGAAAGAACAAGGATTGATGATATTTCTTCTTTTTTTTCCTTTGAAGTTCTTCTTGTGACTAGGAATTGGTAATTTAGTTCGATTAGATCCTTGCTCAAGTAGGAGACTGTGAAGTGCATCCTAGTCATTGTCTTTATAATAGACACATTGAATCTGAAAATACAATGTGGAGCATCTCAACTTGGATATCTGCTAGCACAACTATATCTAGTTCACTATATGGTAAAATTCATGATTTTTCCTCTTAGAGAGATGTTTTTTCTTATTTAAATTGGAGATACTTTGAGATTGTTTAATATATCTTCTGCTTTTGTAACCTTTCGACTTTTACACTTATTGCTGCCATGCAATAACCATGCTACGAGTGACTATATATTCAAATGTTCCTTCGTATGATCAAGTGTCTAACTGATGTCACTTCAGACACTAATATATATTTTTTAATATTGAACTTGAGACTTTCCTAGATTGGTAGCCTATATAGCAACCCTTCTCCATATCATCATGCTTTTGCATCTCAAATTGAAAGCTATATTCACAAAAAAGTTCAACTCGAACATTGTCTAGACTATACCAAATCAAAATGTATTGAAGGCAAGCAAATACTATACTTCAAATGCAAACTATAATTTGGGCAACATGTAAAATTCACACAACTTTGCTTCATTTTGCATCTAAATACAAGGTTGTTCAGAACCCATATCAATGATATACCAACAAATAACTGAAAATTGATGAGAATCGATGAACAGACAGAGCAAAGCCTGTCATATGAATATTTTATCATCCCTGAGTAATGGTAGATCTTCAGTAGATAGGCTTGGTTGTTTTGGAATATATTTTCCAAAAACATGTTTCCTATCATTGTAGAAGAATTAAGGGTCAATCACTTTTTTTGTAATAGATACTGAAGCAATAAATAAATTATGATCCAACGGTAAGGTTCATTAATTTTTGTAGAATTGAAATTTGAGTGAGGATTATGTTATGTTACATATGCAAGGACAAATCTCTGCTTCTTGCAGTATAAAAGTTTAGAAGGAGCTATGCACATATCACTGTTTTTGAGAAACTGATTCTTAAAAGAAATGATTATGTCCTCTTTTTCATTTAAAGATGAATAATGTGGTGCATTATTACCTTGGCTTGTGAGGAAGAAGAACTGTGGTAGCTGATGTGTTATCCAGTGGACAAGCAAGTATTTCTGAATTGAAACACTCATCACTTCTTCTCTTAATAAAAAAATGATTCCCACGATGACTTGCTGATGTGTCGATGCCATCCAAACGTGGTGTCAAAACAACTAGCCCATCTTCGGGCTTCGAAATGTCAAGATAGAAGACAAACCTTGTAATTTTGCTCGCAGACTCAACAAACAGAAATTTCTTGCTCTCAGAAACAGCAAGATCAACAGAAAACATGTCATCCTTTTCATGATAAAGACAAATATCCAAAGATTGCTCTGTTCCCAGCTTATGTAACCATACCTGTCAAAAGCAGTACGACATGATTGATAAGTTTCAAATTTTGAAAAGCAATAGAAATAGCAATTAGCAAATTACTTTCTTTAATAGGTAACAAAAAATAAAAGAAAACTTTATATGTTTATTTATTAAGAAATCGGGGTCCTATTTTTGACAGCTGGTTTCATAAGACTGAAAGGGAGAGTGGTCAGTCATACTCTTTCTCAAAACTTTGAGGGACTACGTGGATTTACCAGAAGTAAAACGGGCATAAACTTAAGAGTATTTAACTCCATGGTTCACAAATGACTAAAGCATAATGGAAGACGTCATTCTCATATAGAAGTGTAAAGCAAATAAATATGATTATTAGCATAACTCAATAACATAGTAGAAGGAAAGGACAACAAAAACCAGCTCCCCAGAAAATGCATGGCCCTTCATCACAATTAGAGCTGTGATGTATTCTTTTAATTTACAAAGTTGCATAAACTTCTTGGAAATCACTACCACGAAGAGAGGAAGAGCATAAGCTTCATTAGGCACTCATTCATACCTTGTCTGGTCGGAGTATCTCATCTCTAGTGGTGTAAACTAAAGCATTGTTGTCAGCCCATTCAAGATCTGACGTAACTCCAGCCAGAGGCTTCCCAACTGGTGCTCGAGACTCAGCATCAATGACATGAACTGTGAAAATTTCATCTCCTTTAGTATCTTCTGCATAAGCTACCAATTTGTTGTTTGGACTAACCTGGTTTTAAGAAAAATAAATAAATAATTAGGATTAAGGTGAGAGGCATACAACTATATTAGAAAGAAACAAATTGCTCAAATTATTTATTATAAAAAATAAAAAGAAAGAAAACAGAAGGTTATCTTGCTTTGAAAGCACCGATGGTGTAAAATGCATGTTCTTGAGCTTTGGCATTTTCATCAAGAAGGACATGCTCCGGAGGGGCATCCGGTCCAGTAGGCATGGTGTCGTAAACAGACGCTTCTGTACCAACATTAACCACACGTCTGCGGCAATGCTGGGAATATTCTTTACCCTCCAAAGTCCTGCTGTAGTAATAGTAAGCTCCTCTGCGAAAAGGCGCTGATATGTCATCTTCTTTTAGACGACCTCTTATCTCGCTATATATCTGTTCTTCTAAATGTTTGGTTCCTGCAGTAAGTAATTCAACAGTTATAAACCGAATTCAGTTCTTCCGAATCAGATGCATTAGAGAAATAAAAATTTAAAAATTGACGCAATTTGCAATTGGCTTCAGCAGAAGAACTTTTTGAAAGTGGCGGAATTACTACTTTGAGTAATCTTCTGGGTTTTTAAAGAATAGATATCCCTAAGAACCCTAATTGAGAACGAAAATCAACCAATCAAAATCAAAGATAGATACATACATTGTCCCCATCTCCTAAAATCAAAACCCCAACTAAATATTCAATAGAACTGAACATACCGGACATGAGATGGTCGGTGTAAGCATTCTCCTCTCGCAGATAAGACAAAACATGAGGGTCGGAGCGAGAATCGTCGCGAAGCCAGTAGTAATTGTCGATTCTGACGTCACCAAACATCTCCATCTCGTGTTTCACTTTGTTCGCAATTGGAGGATCCATGTTCGATGGAAACAACGAACAAGCTCCCACACTCAAATTTCTCCTGGGAGATATCGAAGCGGAAGAAGAAGATTTGAAGAGCTTAGTGTAGAAATGGAAAGTTTGGAGTGTAACAGAATTTGTAGCACTCGGCAAGTGACGCAGTCCGCGCATCACTCGGGCTATGTATACCCAAATCTAATTCTTTCAGCCCCGTTGGTTGGAGGGATGGGGCTGGGTGAGACTGGGGCTTATTTTGTAGGGATAATTAAGTGACAACCCCACATCATTTATTAGGATATAACCTCATTTTCATAATATAACCTCATTTTCATAATTAGTAGTGAGAACCCCATTGTATTAAATTCGATTTTTAATAATTAATTATATAATTGATATTTACATATTTGCCTATGTGTAATTAATTTATTTTAGACACGTGATTTAAAGAAAATCTCTGAGATCACGATATATCGGCATATTCCATAACCGTCTCATCTCTCTCAAACATCGTGTTAATTTTGGAACCGTTTCAAAGGCGCACGTTGAGATTCATATCTGATTTTGTTCAGAGAGTCGGCGACTGTAATTGAAGAAGGCGAGTTTTTTTTGTTTTTTTTGTTTGCAAAGCAGTTGTTTTGAGCGCTGATTCGATGCATTTAATTTGGATTCATATATATAGTGATTTCGATCTAATTGCAGAGAGTGGTTTGTAATTGATTTCATATATGCAAACTGTTGTTTTGTTGTTTGTGCGAACGATAGCATATGGATCATTTATGTTGTTATGTATGAACGCGAGATTTTTTTTATTTTATTTTTTGTGCTGATTATGTTGAGATTTTATAGTCGTGTTATGCAAGTAACACGACTATTATTTTTGCAGTAACATGTTCGTAATTTAAATATTATTATAGTTGATTTACTTATAGTCGTTTATGCAGTAACTAATCATGGTTGTTTCACGTGTATTCTCTATTAACTGCATTTTCATTTAAATCTTGTGTTTGTTGTAGATGGATAGCAGTGTTAATATTTTTGTGAAGTACGAGGGTTTGGTTGCTTTGAAGCGATCTTCTGGACTTACTTTCCAAGCATTGGTTGATTTTGCGTGTTCGAAATGGCAATGTCTGAATGCATCTAATATAAGCATCACATATATGGTGGCAGATTGTGGAGAATGCATTATTGCGGATGATCAAGACTTGATATCCATGTTTGCATTGATGCGCGAGTTATCTTTAGTGCGTATAAATGCCGTGGTGAAGGGTGCAACTGGCATTGTGATTCGACCAATTCAACATGTGGTTTCACCAATTCGGCATGTCCACGCGCAGATGATGCTGCCAATGATCGGCTATGACAAAGATGTTGAGGATACGGAAGATCGTGATTTGGAAATCATAATAAGAAAACATGCCGCATGCGGGTGGAATTTTTATAATGTATCCGTTTTTTTAATTGTAGTTGGTTTTGTTTACAACCTTATTCGTACATTGATTAAACAGTTCGAATATATGCCTTTCAAGTTTTTCAAGTTTGTGGTTGTTGTTGACTGGTTTACTATTGTTAGTATAGTTCAGTTTAGTTCGATTAAATAGATCGAATATATGCTATATTCAAGTATAGTTCAGTTCACTGATATGCTTTTGTTTGTGCGATGTTTTCAACATATGGTGTTCAGTGTACAAATTTATCAACTATTTTTTTTATAAATAATAGTTGTATTCAAAATAATTGTTCTCATAAAGTGTATAGATGAAAACTAGGTATAAAATACATACATATATAACTAACATTACACTTTGTCATGACATGAGAACTGTGAAATAGTTGGTTACATAACATATAGTTGTTTTTCAACATCCTTATACTTATGCCTTTCCACTACAGCACACGATTGTGCTTTCAGCAACAAAAAAAACATACAACTATTAATGAACATCTATTATAAACCAATACCAGCCACTACAGATTTTAAACACCGTCAACATAAAATACCAAATAAAACATTCTACGCAAGTTTACAACTACATTAAACTAAAAGTTTGCTCAGAAAACAACTTCACCCAAAAGTAATAATATGTCAACATATAATACCAAAAAGGAGATTCTACGCAAGTTTACAACTACATTGAACTAAAATAATCAAGCGATATTTTTACTCAAATTCATCTTTTTGCTTCCCCAATCTAGAAAAGTTTGCACAATTCTAGTTCGCATTGCTGGGTATTCTGATTCAGCTTTGTCCTTTATGATTAGTTGTTACTCGAAAAGTTTTTTAATCAGATACAAAACCACCGCAGTCAACACAATCATCCTTTTGTTGTGGCACTTCAGCGAGTGAAACGATTTGCTCTTCTGGACATACGAGTATCAGGTTGTGATGTTCTACTATTTTTTCCGGGGCATTTTTCTGAAATTGTACATTATGTAAGTTAAAGATGTATTTTCTTGTAATTTAAAAACAATGTCTAATGGAAAAATCCAAGTAAGTTACAATATTGACAAAGAAACAATTTAATGTATCAACCTTTCTAACATGCTTCATTTGAAATCCAATTATTTATAGAATAGTCAATTTACAGAATAGTCTGTTTACAGAATAGTCTATTTACATCCTAATGAACTATTTACATAATACAGTAGAACCTCGATAAATTAATAACTTCGCTTAAATAATAAATTTTTCCGGTCCCGACTCGGGACGACGTGCTAAATTAATAATTCGCTAAATTTATAAGATAATACACATTCAAAAAATTTAAGAAGCCCCATGTAATATATAAATTAATAATGCATAACAATAATTCCTAAATTACATGGTACAATACATATTTTATAGATCTATGAAGGCTTAACACAATATAATTTAATTGTCGCTTGTTTCTTGTTGAAATTCACATTACCATCAATCTCGTCCCTCACTTTTCTTAACATGGTTAGAGTTTCGGTATAGTTTTCTCATAACTCAACAGAAATCGTTATATATCATCGTTGCTTTAAGAACTTCGGTCCATGAAACGAGCTCTATAGTGCATTGAACTAATGGTACAATGAATAATATACACGTGAAAAAATTAAAAAAAAAATGTATTTATTGAAAATATTAATAAAAGTATTTTTATAAATTAATAAGTTATTAATCAATATATAAATTAATAATTATTAATTTATCGATAAGTTAATATTTTGCTAAATTAATGAAATTTTGATGGTACCAACTGTATTAATTTATAGAGGTTTAACTGTAGTCTATTAATATTCAACACAAATAGTCCATTTAATACTCCAAGGACAGTCAAGTCAAGGCAAACAACCAAATAGATTATTTTGATTCACAGTGTGTCATGCGATTTTTTGACTAAACAAGTTCTACATACAAATGCCCACTAATTCCAGCAAGAATAACAAATTAATAACAATTCTTAATGAACTATTTAAACAAACATCTACGATACAGTCATATATTCTACAATTACATTATTTACAAGCAATTATTTACAAAATAGTCTGTTTGCAGTATACTCAAACAGGATTACACTGTTTTTTTCAAAGTCATCTATTTCAACTATATACCAACAAAACCATATATGTAAAATTCAACTATTTCTATTTGAGCTAATTACAAAACAACTATTTAACATATTCATCTATTTCAAATTATATTAATTTCCCCATAAATAAACTTGAAGCCCACGATTTTCACAGTCAACAATTCGCAATGAACTATTTACAGCCGTTATACCTGTTTCGCACATTTTTGGCGAAAGTGTAAGTGGCCTCGGCTGTTGTGGTGAGGCGAACGGTCTACCTTGGTCTTCCCCGACCTTCTATGATCATTCCCACCCCTGTCCTTTTTTATTATTTGGGCCACTTGTTTTGCCCGTATTCTTAACGTTTTGTTAGTTAGCTAGGGTATTTTGTTTGTCAATTGCTATTATTAGCCATCTGTTGGGCAGTAGCAATTTGAGCGAATCTCATTTTGTACTTCTTAAATTTTGTTGTATAAACAGGTAGGGGGTCATGCCTAACCCCCCACCCTCATCGGGTGTCGTTCTCATAAAAAAAAATTATTAATTAAAATAATCAGTCAAATACATGAACATTCATGATTATTATGCTCTGTAAATATTTGTGTAGCATGATAAAATGTTTTCTATATTAAACTTTTATGTTGAAATATGTATTATTTGTATATAGACATGTTAAATTCTCCAAGATGCTGATATGTGTTAATATATCATAATATCTGAAATTAAAATAAATTGTGAGAAATGGGAATGTATGTAGTTTAATTTTGTGCAGAAAGACCTTTTTTTTTAACTTAAGAAAAGTATGGATTTTTATGTTTATGTGAGTCTTTATTTTTTTTTATCTGATAAACTCACGTTGGGTTTTATTTATTGTTATTGATACTTATTTCATTAATACTTTAAAGCCACGCTCCAGTTAACAACGTCAAGGATCAGTTGAAGCAGAATTTTTGCCGAGGAAATGTTGAGATTGCCCCAAGAGCAGGAGACAATTGGCGAGGACATATTAAATATCATGGCAAAGGAAGTTATCAGCATTTGATCTACTCTAAGTTTATGTTTTGTTTATCAGCTTTGGGTTGACACAACTACTGTGAGTCACAATTCTTACATCTCTACTATTTTTTGGAAATTTGACTTTACATTAATATGTTTTTATATGACAATGATACAAAAATACTTAAAAGGGTAAATGAGTATCTATGCTAATTAATGGAGCTAGAGTGGCAAGAAACTAATTATTACAGCAATTATGTTCTGATTAGTTCTGTTTAGAAATAAACTATCGAACTTTTACGTGATTCATTTGGCTATTGAAAAATTGAGATGTCATTAATATTTCATGCATTTTGCTTAATCGACAATAGTTGTTGGATCGTAAATTACTTATGGGAAAAATATTTATTATTTAAAATTGTTATAGATCAACTATAACTAAGTTTGCCGTTTGGTACCATTACCAAAGAAACTTAAGAAAAAATAAGTTTCAGTTACGGTAAGAAAAATCCAAGTGCTACGGTGCATTATCTTATTTCTTAAAACTATGTTCAGAATTAAAATTTAAGAAAAAAATGTCTCACATATATTGGCACAAGTGGAGGAGCCACAAGTGGAGTCAATGGCTCGGTTGGAATATGGTCTATTGGCACGACCCGAGGAGGAGATTATTGCTCTGTCAGT